TTTTAATAAAGTTTCAAAATTTTTTATGTATGTGGAAAATGTAGTTGATTACCAAAGGTTACAATTTTTATTGTGAAGACTGCATGGTCTAGGAAGTGTACATTTTTTTATGGGGCAAGTTTCCAAGGGCGGGTTTTCTAGGGGCGAGTTGACTGCCAAAGAGTGTTGCCAAAGTGCGAGCCAGCGTGTCATTTGATCACAATAATAATAATAATTTATTGGCTCTCTCTTTCAAAGCAGAGGAACACTCTCACGCAGGAGTAGACTGGGTTCCAATCCCTAATCTTTGTCTTAATCAGTTGAAATGCTTAAGAATAAATCGATTTTGGCACAAATGGCGTTCCATATTACTTATTTGCATGGCGTTCCATAGTATACTTTTTCTGGGATTAATTCTCATCAAAAAGTTTCTTGCTGGTGGCGCTTTCCGAAATGCGCTAATGTACTACGAAAAATCCATAAATTAGAGACTTGTGGCAAGTCTAACGCAGGAGAGGTTCGACCATACAACAGAACAAAGTTACAAGTAAAGATAAATTCATAAAAAAAGAGACAATAGTCGCACAAGTGCGAGACATCGCAAGAGTGTGAGCCAGCGAGCCATGACGTCACGACAATAGATAGAGACGTTACGAGTTGTGCGAGGTATCGGCTAAGATTTGTGGAGTAATTGAAACGTCGCCTAAAGTAATTGATTTTACCCGGCAGAACGAAAGAAGGAAACTCCGCTTTTCAGTCGTCTAGGCACTTGTTCTTTGACAAACAATGACCTTTCAGAGGTCAAATTGCTGTCAAGAATATGAATTGGCTGCTTCGCAGCAATAATAATAATTATTATTATTTTACATTGGTGAAACAGGACGAGATCTCAGCTCAGGGAACACCAAGGCTATGCCAGGAGAGGGGAACAACAAAATTCGTCTATAATGCACTCCCACAGTCAACAACACCATTTAGGGACAAAGCCGAACTAATAGCCACTGTACCATCGTGGCACTCCAGAAGGACTAGAGAAGCCATATAGAAATGAAACACAATACTGTACATCAAGATATCGGATTTGTCATTAGCGATATTTGGCTGTCCATGTTTAATCGGACCTAGCTTAGCAGCCCCACCATTCCCGCCTTCTGGAACTACGCCTTTGGTATGGTCGTTCCCATCCCCCTTTCCCGCCTTACTGGAACTATACCTTTGTTTTTGGTCGTTCCCACCCCTTTCCCGTCCTAGAACCATGCTTTGTTTGGGTGTTCCCACCGCTTTGTCTCCGTGACTTTTGTTTTAGCCTTTCACTAGCAGTCTCGTTGGTCAGTTTATCCATCCAATCACCATGATCCTCTACCCAAATATATAAGTATTTCTCAGTTTGGAGTTTCTGCAGCCTATTATTCTCCTGAAGACGATTGAAGCAACTCAATCGAAACATCGAGACGTTCTCAACTACAACAGTTCTTCTCAGAACTACTTACGTGGTGTACCGCAAACTTCAACATATATTATTACTTCGCCATGCAAACCTTTAAACAAATAATAATAAAACGAGACAAAATCATTTATCTCTGTTTTTGCCCCATTATAGGCCAACATGAGTAAGTTAATACTTTATTTTTATAATTCAAGTTACAATACAATATGATACCATAGGTGGGGTTGTGAAAAATCAGTTGCATGTTTAGGCCTTTTGCTAGGTCGTTTTTCCAAATGACTTATAGAAATACTATGCAGAGGCGAATCTGGGTTTAAAGGGGTGTCTGGAGATCCTCCCTCCCACTGGCAAATTTTGATTCCTAGATGGCGGGAAATGAGCTTTCCCGACTTCTGAGGTGTCTTTTGATGACTTTTAAGTTCTTTAAAATTCAATGTTTTCGCCCTGTGAAAACGGTCTTCTCATTCTTATTACAATAGGAGTATGTGTGTATATATACATAAAAAAAAATTAGTTGCACACATAGGCCTATTCTTTTTTCATGAATCGATGAACACCAAAGAGGACGGGGTGTCCTCCCCCGGGAAAATTTTGATTCCTGGATGGCGGAAAATGAACTTTTCCGACTTCCTGTGGTGTTTTTAATGACTTAAGTTTTTAACAATTCAAGTTTCTCCCTCTTAAAAACGATTCCATGAATCGATGAACCCTAAAGAAAAGGGGTTCCGGGTTCTCCCGGGACAATTTCCCGACCTTTGATGACTTTTGTAAGTTCTTCAAAATTCAAGGTTTTCCCCTCTTGCAGGTAAATTTTTCTCCTTATTCAGTAAATGGGCCTATTGTGTATACATATACAAAAAAATTGATTGGTTGCATAGGACGTATTCTTTTTCCCATGAATCGATGAGCCCCAAATAGGGGAGGGGGTCGGGGTCCTTCCCGGGAAAATTTTGATTCGACCCTCTACAAATATACAGTAAACAAAGACGAAGAGAAGCAAAGGCGTAAGAATGCTGTCACCGGTAAGTTGTGCTTCTCCAATTACAAAAACACGAACAAGACAAGAACAATAAAATATAATATAAACAGTTAGTTCAAAATACATCTCTACGACACTTGACCATTACAATTCTTTCATGTTGATAAAAAAAAATAATAAAACAGAGAAGGTCTAAGCGCTGTGTCCACGAAAACATTATAGAGAATCGGCATAATTCAGATAACCCCGTTTGTAAGAAGGTGTATTTCCTGGAAAATCCAAATAAAATATCAATGTAAACACTAGGCATATTGTAAGCACCGGGCTTGATGTATAACATAGGCCTAATGTTTTCACAACAGCCAAGGAGGTTATATATTTACTGTTGTCGGGCTGTCTGTCTGTCTGTCTATTAGCAACAAAAACAAATGAATGGGATCATAATAATTTAGTACAATGGTACAAAATAATTGAAGAAAGACACCATTCAATTTTTAGTATAAAGGGTCAAAGGACAAGGTAAACGTCACGGAAATTCAATTATTTACCCTCAAGCATAACATTAAAAAAAATAATAGAATCTCGCATAGTACTCAGGCAGCACTAAAAAAAATGTACCTGAATAAATACGATGGTCCTTACTTTTACTTTATCCCGGGAATTCGTCTTTATACTCACCCCAAACCGGCACACACCATGCCCACGATTTCATATAATATTATAAGTCGAATGCTCCTGAATCAAATAAATTAAGAAAACACTTTAATAATCATGAATCGAAATATCAGCATGAAGTTATAAATCTGACTGGTTCCCGAATAGGAACAACATGTTATAATCGTATCAAGCATCCCTTAAACAATAAGTTCTATTCAGTTGTTTGAAAAAGTGTCTGGTGGGATTCGAACCTGTAACCTCTAGCTATAAACAAGGCTAGTATATACCCATTAGATCACAGACACCTATGGTATACGTGCAAATCTACCTCCAGGCACTTTCATAAAATACAACAGACTGAAACGATCACACCTCACACATTATGGAGCTGAGGTTAAGCTAGAAACTTCTATAAGTCGCATCCATTGATGTTAATAATCTTCCATACTTTTACTTACCACGCAAATTCTTTATACTCACCTTTTTACTAAGAAAACTGGCACACACCATTACCACAATTTCATATAAAATACCGGTAAGTCGAATGCTTCTGAATCAAATATATAAAAAATCCTGAAAATTTATATTGAAATATCAGCGTGAAGTTAGCTCTGGCTGGACAAATACAGTATATCCATAGGGGAAACTAAAACCTGTCTCTTATACACATCTAGATGTGTATAAGAGACAGGTTTTCGCCCTGTGAAAACGGTCTTCTCATTCTTATTATGCTGTCACGTGTATGAACTGGCGGGCGTAGGGGGAGGGGGGCGGGGTGGGTAAGTGTGTGTGTGTGTGTGACATGTGTGTGATCTTAATGCTCTGCAATTATCCTTTTTTACATACAACTGATATAAAGAAACATTTCGCCAATGAGCTATGCTCGATAAGAATATTACAATAAACAAAATGATTATTGGTAATTAACAAAGGCCATGTTGTCTCCGACATATCTGACTACCTTTTTCTGATTGGTTAGAATTCATCTTACGTTTTGATTTTTTATTTCTGGTAGTATTATCACCATCTCATGGACTATATTATTCCTGCTTGAAAATGTTCTAATAAAGAACGAAACGTAGAATCAACTATAGCCTCACGTTTGTCATTCTTCGAGTCACTTATACACATATTCTAAAAGCGATGTAATGGAAAGTATAGACCCATTCTGTTTTTTTACGAAACATAATAAAACCAAATTTTATGCCACTACTTTGTCAACATTGGTAACAATAGCAAAATATATATAAATGTCATGTCATGTCTATATCGTACTCCACCTGAGTATAACTACCAGTTGATGTAAAAATCGTTTCTGTACAGTGCCTGATAATAAACAAAAAACTTATAACCAAGAATCTTCTGTTGTCTATGGCCACTGGGTCTCGTTGGGATTTCAAATCCAACTGATTAATTCATTCTTGCACACATGCGTGGGAGTACTTCTCGAAGTTAATAATAGAGAGATATACCAGTATCCTTTAGCATATTATTTAATTTAATTTAAATATTTTATTTCAAAATCAAATCAACATACGGGAAAGTAATTATTCCACTGTGTTTAGAAAAATGAAATTAATGTAGAAAATTAAAATACAATCGGTTTTATTTGTAGGCCTGTAGGCAGAAGTTTTACCTGCTCCAACTGAACAAAAAACAATTAAAAAAAAATATAACAAAAAAAACAAAACAAAAAAAAATAACAAAAATAATTAGCTGTATTACAGTCTAAGATATAATGGTCCTGGCTTTATTATCTAATGTTTTGTTTTATTATAATGTATTACATTTATTTTTTGAGCGTTTTAATCCAGATTTAATTTTTTTAAATTTATTATTATTCTGAACAGCGCCCCCGGTCATTTCAGTCGTTGGTGGCGCTCTCCTACAATTTTTCTTAGACTTTTTCCGCCATAAGCTTTTTGTGTACAAAACAAGTACTACTACTAGGAGGCCTAGGCTAGACTACTTTCCACGCCACAACAAAAGCTTTAGAAAGCGGTAGCCTGTTCGGGACTCGAAAGAATGAGGTAGGCCAAGGTCTGCTTTAGTTTAAGGTTAGTCTTAGACATTGTTGCCTGTGATATTATCAATAGTGTATCGATAGGCTAGAGTAGTAGTACTACACTAGGCCTAGAGTAGTAGTATGGACTGGGGTGGGCGTGCTCAGACCCAGGCTCTGACTCTGTGATGTGTGTAGTCTAGCTAGTTCCTAGCTAGGCTAGGGTCAGGCAAGGCCTAGCCTAGGCCCTTAGTTAAAGAAGTTGGACCTAGCGTAGTAAAGAAACACCGGAGCGTCTGCGGTCGCCCGAAGCGCCTGGATGGATGTCTGTGAGACTGTGATACGCCATTTGGAAAATCTGGGCAGATTTTGCCGAGATAGGTTTTTCTCAGATGATAAAACAATGCTTTTTAATGAAGGAAAAATTACTATTCTTTATAAATCGATCGTTCGTGCACTAAGAGTAATTATCTTTAAAGAGAAGTTGAGGGCCATTCCACTGGACAAGAGGGCCTAACTATCGAGTATCAAATAAGTATCAAGTAAGTAAGTATTTTGATTAACAATAACATACTCTAATAGGCCTAGGCCATCTAATCTACTAAATATATAAACAATGTAGGCTATTATATATGCATTAAGTACAATTCTGCACACTTATTTTCCTTGCGATTTTCAGTGTATTTGAGCTGGTTTTTGATTTATCAATATCATCCCTGCAATTAATAAAGCTTTTAGTAGTATGCTGCTGTATAGGCATTAGGTTTAATAATAGTATGTCTACTCTAGACTGACTTTAGATCAACATTTTTTTTTTTTTTTTTTTTTTTTAATTTCAGGAACCCAAATGTTAAGGCAGAAATGTATAGTCCTACCACAAGATCAGACAATAGAATGGAATAAAACATTAATAAATACATGTTTGTAATTTGTTGCATTGTAAATTTTAAGACAAATTTTGTTTCTCTTGCTGTTTTAAAATATATTCATGATTGAATACACCATTTTGAATACAGGCCAACTCGTACACATGGAAATGCGTACACACCATTGGCTAGCTCGTACACACAGTTGGCTAGCCCGTACACACAGTTGGCTAGCTCGTACACACAGTTGGCTAGCCCGTACACACAGTTGGCTAGCTCGTACACACAGTTGGCTAGCCCATACACAATTTTCGTTTAAGATTTACTTTTGTGATTTAAACTTTATTCAAGTTGTATTGTATTTTGATAATAGTCATACTGATCTAAATTATTAAAACCCATAATACTTTTTGTATTTTTTTCAGTGCCAGTGTAATAATTATTATTTAAGTTTTTTACGATAGTTTTTGTTTCAGAAATTTATTGATAATCAATCAATACATTTATACATTTCATAATAATAACTTCACAATAATAATAAAATGTATTAAATAGTAATACTGTAGTTATAATAATAGTGTAAGCACATTATAATAATAATGATAATAATAAAAATAAGATTAATTATTATTATTATTATTATCATTATTAAGAAATTATATAGACTCTCACTGTAAAAGAGCGCCGCCAGAAAAAAAGTTCATTAGGAAAAAAATGCATTTTACAAATCAGTTTGGGCTTAGATGTTATTAAAAATAAAAATGTGTTTCGAACCTAGTTGACTAATGTCAGGGGAATGCCCTCCTCCACCCCCCCCCCCCTCATGTTTTTCCCTAGATACCCAAAAATGGATTATTTGCCACTTTACCAGGGTTGTTGCATATTTCTGCCTTCTACAAACCTATCCCACTTGCAGTTTGTTGATGCAGCTAGTTTGATCTCATCTGATCGAAAAAATGAGAAAATTACCCCATCAAAAATACATTTGGGTCCGAGTTTGCCAAAAGTCATGTGTACGAGATCACCAAAGTGTGTACAAGTTGGTATGTGTACGAGTTAGCCGACACCTGGTATCACCCCACCACTTTACATATAATATTAATAATTATACGGTAGACATATTATAACAGATATATCTTAGTTTTATATGTATATATTGTAGTATTACATAATTTTCGTCAGCATCTGCTGCAAGGTACTCTGGGTGTGTAGTATGACAGTAAACGTGATATGATAAACAATACATATCAGAGATCCCAAGTCTCCAGAAAATCGCGGGTTTCTCCTGATTTTTTAGGCTGTCTCCCGCCCTCCCGATTTTTATTAATAATCTCCCAATTTTTTTAAATATCCCGAAAATTTTGCGAAAAATGTGATTTCCACGATGTCATAGAGCAATGAAACAAAATTTCTTATCTTAAGCCAATATACTATGGCGCTCGCTCAGCCTTAAAATGTCGTAAACAAGACCAGGGAGTTGTTAAATAACAACTCCATCTGTCTCTTATACACATCTAGATGTGTATAAGAGACAGGGTCGTGACTCTGTGGCCTTAGGCCTAGTTACGCACGTACAGATGGAGCCTAGCGAATCAGGATTTAATGTTTTTTCATGGCATTATGTACCAATTAGTATAGGTTATACATATATAAATGCTGACTTAAAACATGGAGTATGATTTACTAACTAAATTAAAATATATATTTATTTTTTAATTTTTCAGGAAACGTGTGGATCTTGCAAGTTGCAGTTACCTTGCTAGAATTCTATGTTCTTTGAAGAGATGTAGTAAATCAGCCATAGCCAAAGCCTTGTTGACTGCTGCCAAGAATGCTTTACTAGCAAAATTCTAAATAAATAATAATATTTATAAATTTATATAGGCCAACTGCAATGTGTAAAATGTAAAATTGTTAAATAAAAGTAAACAAATTAATGAAAATTGTTTGTTTTCTTCATTTTGTGTAATACTTTCATGTTAAACAGCGCGTCGTAAGGCGTCACAGCACGTCGCTACAGGAGGTGATCGCTTCACGAAAAAAATCTCCCTATTTTTTGGTTTTTAAAACTTGGGATCTCTGACACATAGTTATTTGATTGTATGGAGCATTGTTAATTCGGTACAAATTTTGTTACCTCCCTGTAAGCTGTATGAATAGGCTCCATTTATATTCATTCTTAGCTATTAGTAACCAAAGTATGATAAATGAAAGGCAGAAATATAATATATATGGAGTGGATATACTGTAGGCCTATAACAAATTGAATGATGAAATAAATGATACGAAAACACTCAGTAGATATAGAAAACCTGGCTTAATTAAGATAAAAAATAATCCAATATATTATATATAAATTTTTTTTTTTCTCTCTTTTGTGGTATTTTAAATAGAATTCTTTTTGAAGTAAAAAACATAGGACTATATTTATTCACAATCAATGCAAAGAGTGTGTAGTAGAACCCATGTTATTGGGGATACTTTTGGGACCAAAACAAGTGTCCTCTTAATAGAAGTGTCCCCTGAATTGGGGTACCCCTATTAAGGGGACACTAACAGTATTTTGTGATGAAATTAAAATAAATGTAATTAAAATAAAATCTTAATATTTTATCGGAATAAAATTAAACAAATAATCTTTGCAGTCTTCGTTTATATCAAATTAATATCCCAAGATCATCTTAAGACTTCTCTGGGTGTTTGACGGGCATTTATAACTCATCTGACGTCCATCCAAGCTCTGTAGGCGTTTTTTAGTATGACCAGTTAGTTCTAGTAGGACCATGCCAGAGGGTGAGACAGGCCCCAAATGCGCTAGTCTCGCACCAAATGCAGCACGCTTATCTGTTTCGAAACAGGCGTTTTTGATTTCAGTTGAAGATTTGTAAATATCTGATAGCAAATTCACATACAAACAATTTACGACCAGAATATCTAAAAAATAGCCAAAAATAAAGTAAAATTATAACCTAGTTATTGAATCCTTTGGATTTACAATATCAAAACCTTTTATCGTTTTCAAAGATTGTATTATTGTTACTTCAAAAATTTCCTTATACTGTACTTGATTTTTTTTTTCTCCATAGGTGTTATTAACCAGAATGTTAAACTGCACAAGAGTAGACCAAGTGACTGTTAATTGCGATGGAACGATTTATATTTCGGTGGAGGCGGAGTTAAGTACCACTGAGTTCTGGATATACTTAGGTGTTTATATAAGCCTTGTGCTTTTTGCTGGTAAGTACAGCTGATTCCAGACTATCAAAATTTCTTTGACAAAAAACTGTTGTATGGAGTACCACAGTCGTGTCGTCACGATGCCAGGTGGCACCCTCTGCTGTCAACAGACGTTGGTTATCTTCATTACGCCTGAATGACTTCATAAGCTTTCTGAAATAGGCATTTTAAAATCTAATATTTTACCATCAAAATGTACTAATAACACATAATTAAGATACATCATCTTAATAATTACTGTGCATTTGTCAGTGGATAAAATGGCATCCGGTTGAACACATTTTGCAACGATCACATCACATGGAATTCGTGACTTAACACTGCAGTACTCTATGCCCATATATAGTCATGATGTGCCTATATATGGTCATGATGTGATGTCATCATGACCATATTTATTCATGTCACATGTTTTTGTCAAAAAAAATTTGATAGTCTGGACAGGGCTTAAGCCTGATAATGAGTATGTACAGTGTATTTGATCATGAAATGTTTTTTTTTTTTTTTCAAAAATAAATCTAAAACAAATTGGAGATGACTGATTGAAATTGTATTGATACGAATATAAGCTTTAGTGAAATTACTATTTGAAAAGAATTTGTTTTTTTAGGGCTGATGTCGGGCCTGACAATGGGACTCCTCTCACTAGACATAATGAGTTTGAAAGTGCTGTCCATGAGTGGTAAACCAAAAGAGAAAGTTTATGCAAAGAAAATCATTCCTATAGTTGAGAAGCATCACCTATTACTGGTAACATTACTTCTTGCAAATGCCGCAGCTGTAGAGAGTATGCCGATATTCTTGGACAAGATAACTAATCCCATAATCGCAATTGTGATCTCCGTTTCAGCGGTTCTCATATTTGGCGAGTAAGTAAGTTGGTCACAGTATTTATTGATATTTCATTTTCATGTATTTGACCAAAATTTGACCTTCTTTTGCAGTATTGAGACCGGCCTTGGATTATTTTGTATTTAATGATCTCCATTAGATATACTTTGTCAGAGTCTCGCTCAATGGAATAAGCTGTACCACAGGGTTCGATTGTTAGACCTTGTCATTTTACTTTTCTCAGCAATGTTAGTCTGTATGTCAGCTAAGTACCATCTTTAAAACTTGAACGTTCGGATAAACTGGTTGCTTGTTAAGTAGAGTATTCTGCATGCATTTAAATCATTGCCTGGCATGTACCCTGATTACCACATCTGTGACATTTTGAAACTGTGTGAACTCCTGCCATCTTTGATTCAATTCTATCAGCCTATTTTCAAGAAACGCTTCAGCGACAAGTCTTTACTGTGCTTCAGTTTTCTTACTCATATCTGCTCTTCTACATCTGTTGCTCTTGTTTTTATAATTTGTTTTTAACTGTATTTTTTTTCAGATATACAATAAATGAGCCATTGTGCCACATCCCTTACATTTTTTGAGTGTGTAAACTACCAAAATGGACATATCTTCAATCTTTGATTAAATTCCTTCAGCTTATCTTCAAGAAATGCATCAGTTTTCATTCTCATATCCCTCTTCTACATCTGTTGCCCTTATTAAGTTTTCAATAAAGACTTGCTTGTTTTGATTATCTGTTTTGTTTGATTTCTTGTGAGGCATTGTGCCTCAACATACAGCCTTTCCACGTGCTGTAGTGTGTCCCAATCCAATATTATTTCAACAGTGCAATTACATGCAGTGATCTACATTGTGAAGAAAACTTGTCTGTGGCTTCATTTCATCTCCTCATTTGAAGGCATGATGATTTTAATCTGTGTGTGACTAAAAATGTTTTATCTACTATAATTGCATATTTTCTATCTGTTATGAGATTGAATACAACATCAGATTTGCCTATTTGCCTATTTATACATTATAATCTGTGATGTTTGTTTTTAATAGAGTGGTTCCACAAGCAATCTGTACTAGGTATGGACTGGCAATTGGCGCTACTTTATCCCCATTGGTGTGGGTGTTTATGCTGCTGCTGCTACCGATATCATTCCCAATTGCCAAGGTACTTGATATTCTTCTTGGGAAAGAAACTGGAACCTTCTTCAGACGTGCAGGTATGTTTAGTATATTCTACTGTCATGTTCAGTTCAAGTTACCCTGTAAACAAATGAACAAAAATTTGATAGTAAATACAGTCAACAACTTGAAAAATAGTTTAATATTAATTTTGGTTTTTATTAGCAATAGGAACCTTTGCATTCAACTCGGTGTCATACAGTGGCGTATCTATGGAGGGTGGGGGGGGGGAGTAAAGAAATTACTTGCCTCCCCCCAAGTACAAATTACAACATTCACTAAAAATTCCAAAGATCAAAGTGCAGTAAATTAAAACCCATTATTACAAATATAAAAGCAAGTACAATAAAAATCAATTAATAGAAATGGCAAGTACAAATTACAAGCCCGAAATTCAATAAAATTTCCTACAAAAAGCTAGTTAACGATAAAAACGTAGCAACAATAAAGTACAGATGTGTAATAAAATCCAGTGTAAACAATGTAGCCATGGGGACGTTCAGTTTAGGCCTTCTTTTACTGTTATTTTTGTCAATGAATAGGACGTTTATATTTAAAATATCCTTGGTTTTAGAGTGGGATAGGCGCTATTTCTCATTTCTGATGTTTACAATTCATATGGTGCGACACCGATTGTTCAGTATGGTGGATGAAACTTTCTCTTGTAAATAATTCTCAAGAAAACTGCCAAAAAATTAAAGTGAGAATTTAACACTGTAGGTGTCAATTACAAAATTCATTTTGCGCACCAATTACATTAATTCGTTACCCAAATATAAGAGCTCAGTGTGGCTTTGGTCCGACGAGTGTGTTTGTTTTGATGCTAATTGGTAATAGAAGAGTATTTGTTTTCATATATCAGGGAAAGCTGTGGTGACTCCAAATTTTTCCAACGAGGGGTCCGATTGGTGGGGCTGACTAGAGCCTCTAGGAGTGTTAATATCTTTATTTGGCACAAATTAGACTGCCCGGGGATATGGAAGCTTGTGGTGGTGGCAAGTAGCCGCAACTGTGATCAAATATTTTTTTCTTTTTTATGCCGACGACAGATCGCAGCTTAGTATTCATCTTTTATGTTCTTTAAAATACTTTATATTTCATTTTAATTCAATCTAAACAAATACCGAATTATCGCTACTTATCGCACAATAATATAATATATTTCTAGTTTTATACAAACCAAAAATAATTAACAATATGACCATGTCCTTTTTTCTGTGTTTAGTTTGCGAAAATAAACTTGTTTAATTTGTTGAATTATAATACTGTGTGTGTGTACTTAGTAATTATTTTAGCCATGTTTGTGTGTACTAGCTACTTAAAGGAGAAATCTACCGATTTTATATAATTTGAGAACAGATTTAAACGAAACTTGTGCACGTTCATTACGTAGATGCTTTAGTGTAAATTTTTGATGACGTGCCAGATTCATCGCTCCACCCGAGCTTAGCGACAGGCCAAGACTAATTTGGTTTAGAGCGTCTACTTAACGAATGTGCAAGATTCGTAATTTCAAAAATAGGAAATTGTAATTTTTGTATTTCTAAATCAGTTCTCAAATTATTTAAAATTGGTAAACTCTGTTAGTAACTAATGCATATCTTTGGTAAGTTTATTTATTTTTCATTGTTTACAGTAGATATTTAATTTGCTAGTATTACTATATTACCCATGATTTCAATAGGCATATGTAACAGTCAAATGTAAAGCAGTATTGTTTTTAATACAAAAATCATAAAAATTGTTTTTAAAATAAACTTGCTCATTCTTAATTTTCGCAAAGACAAGCCAAACTAGTCACTCGTAAAAAAAAAGATTTTTTAGTCAATTATACAGGGTTGAAAAGTAGAATACAAATACGAATGTGCAAGAATTGTAATTTCAAAAATAGGAAATTGTAATCGAGTATGCTAAATCAGTTCTCAAATTATATAAAATTGGTAAACTCTGTTAATAACTAATGCATATCTTTGGTAAGTTTATTTTTTATTGTTTACAGTAGATATTTAATTTGCTAGTATTACTATATTACCCATGATTTCAATAGGCATATGTAACAGTCAAATGTAAAGCAGTATTGTTTTTAATAAATGGTAAACAAAATCATAAAAATTTTTATTAAAATAAACTTGCTCATTCTTAATTGTCGCAGAGACAAGCCAAACTAGTCACTCCTTGTAAAAAAAAAATTGATTTTTTTTTAATCAATTATACAGGGTTGAAAAGTAGAATAAAAAATTTCGTTGTGAAGTTACAGAGGTTTAAACATACAGTACTGGAGAAATCAACCTTCAAATTTAACGATTTTAGGGAATTTTCAGACAGACATCATCACCAAATAATTTTTAAAAATTTTGATTTAACATTAAGTGGAGAAATTAACAAGTTAACATGATGTACAGATATATAAAGGTTAGTTTAATGCAATGAAATAGATTTAAACAATGTTGACATTTCAGCATGTTTTGGAAATTAAGGAGATTTTGCAACCTTATGTATCGTCATTCGTGCCTCAAACATTTTTGAAAATGCTGTATGAGCTGAATATGATCCTTGATTCATGCAAAAGGTATGAATCGCCTACATTGTGGCAGATGTGCAACTGTAGTGGAAGGGTTGTCTGAATATTTGATGACCTAACTGTTATAGTTTTCGTAAGCTTGCGAAAACTCCTTATTTTAGAAACACAATTTGCGAAGGTGTGACTGGTTTGGCTTGTCTTCGCCACAATTATCAACATAGTGTAAAAAACTGCTGTAGTTTATCATTTGTATTATACCAGTAATATAACTTTAGCTATGTATTGTATTTCATCAGTCAGTCAGTTATTGTTGTGTTTGGCTGTGGTTTATTTCTAAAAAAAGTTTCAAATATCCTCAATTTACCTTTCTTGCGTTACTACATCATAGTATGAAGAACTAGTAAGCACCACTATTCAGATTCCGATACAAAGATTATTGTCAGGAATGGACATCTTTGTGGTCTAGTCATACTATGAGGAAGCAGTACTGTATGCTCATACAGACACTCCATTTCTCCTTCAAGTTTGTATTCTGTTTTAGATCATAGTATGAAGAACCAGTGAGCAGATGCAAAACCAGATTCCAATACCAAGATTGTAGGCAGGTTTGGACATCTTTATGGTCTACTCATTCATACTATGCTCATACAGACACTCCATTTCTCCTCTCCTTCAGGTTTGTATTTGTTTTAGGTCATAGTATGAAGAAACAGTAAGCAGACACAAAACCAGATTCCAATATCAAGATTGTAGGCTGGTTTGGACATCTTTGTGGTCTAGTCATACTATGCTCATACAGACACTCCATTTCTCCTTCAGGTTTATATTCTGTTTTAGATCATATTATGAAGAACCAATGAGCAGATGCAAAACCAGATTCCAATACCAAGATTGTAGGCAGGTTTGGACATCTTTGTGGTCTAGTCGTACTATGCTCATACAGACACTCCATTTCTCCTTCAGGTTTGTATTCTGTTTTAGGTCATAGTATGAAGAACCAGTAAGCAGACACAAAACCAGATTCCAATACCAAGATTGTAGGCAGGTTTGGACATTTTGTGGTCTAGTCATACTATGCTCATATAGACACTCCATTTCTCCTTCAGGTTTGTATTCTGTTTTAGATCATATGAAGAACCAGTGAGCAGATGCAAAACCAGATGCCAATACCAAGATTGTAGGCAGGTTTGGACATCTTTGTGGTCTAGTCATACTATGCTCATATAGACACTCCATTTCTCCTTCAGGTTTGCATTCTGTTTTAGGTCATAGTATGAAGAACTAGTGAGCAGATGCAAAACCAGATTCCAATACCAAGATTGTAGGCAGGTTTGGACATCTTTGTGGTCTAGTCATACTATGCTCATACAGACACTCCATTTCTCCTTCAGGTTTGCATTCTGTTTTAGGTCATAGTATGAAGAACTAGTGAGCAGATGCAAAACGAGATTCCAATACCAAGATTGTAAGCAGGTTTGGATTTTTTATTCTATAGTTTTGTAAATGAGAAACACAATTTCTTAATTTTTAAACTTATATTTTTGTCTTTTCTTCTTTCTTCAAAATTCCTGTAAAAAATAATATAAATGCAGTTTTTAAAATTAGTAAATATTTTATAATGTACTGTAATCTTTATTAATACAGCTATTGTAAATAATATATTTCCTAAAGACCACTTTTTACCACCTGTGTGATAATGCTAGAAAGTGGTGACTATTTTTTGTGAAATTAAAGTTAATTCTAATAACTGTTCAGAAAGCTAAATTTTGATATTTACTCCTAGTAGGAAACTCTGAAAAATTAAGTAATGTGTGTTCACTGTTTATATTGTTTCTATTTATATTATTTTACATTGCCAGCCATGCTGAAAAACAATGAAGGTGAAACAATTATTTATTTGACTAATTGAAAATTGAAACCTCAGTTTTTTCTACCTATCTCTAGCTAATTTTTTTGAGTGTGGTGGAAAAGCATCTTGCAGAGCACTGCAGTCAGTGTTTACCACTTACTAGCCTAGAAATATATATATATATGTACGCAATAAATCATGAATCCATTTTCATTCAATCATTCATTCAAGGTTTATTCCAAAATGTGTCCCAGTTAAAAACTGAATTACAACAAATGGTTACAATATAAAATTATTAAAATTTACAAATATAAAAACATTAGGAATATAGGTCTATTTACAATTATTTGAAACATAGAAAAACAACGATTCATTAAGATCAATATATAAAAATGTATGAAAATTTAACGCAGGAAACCTAGAAACCTAATATGCAGTACTTATCATCATTATCATCATCATAAAAATTATCTTAAATCCAAACAGTATACTTACTAATATTATTATATCCTTCATCTTTTTTTTTCTTTGTTTCTTTTTTCTTTACTTTTTTGTGGGGGAGGGGGGTTTGAACTTTCAAAACTCAAAACCTGCATACAATAATTTTCAGAAACACAGTAAATCAGACAGACATTCCCCACTCATTTAGATGCAAATCAGTCAGAATG